CGAAGCAACACAGCACCAGCAATGGCCAGGAGAATGGGTCCAGGGCATGGCTTGCTCATGACTGCTTCAGTCCCATTGGATGGGCCTCAGCCTCTTTTCTTCCCCTCCCCCGCCTTGCAATGGGGCTGTAGACTCTGGGAGGAGAGGGGTGGAGGCAGGCAGAGGTGTCTCCCTGCAGCAGATAATACATGTCTTTGTATTAATCATTCTTTCATTGAAGTTTTTAGCTTTGTATTGAGTCCTTTTACATGGAAATTTTGTATTACTTCTTGGTAGAATAGTCCCTAGGACAGGCATGTCCAAAGTCCGGCCCGCGGGCCAATTGCGGCCCGTGTTCCGGTTTAATACGGCCCCACAGGTAATTTGGCAATATCTATCTTTTATGGCCCCCAACGAATCCATATGTATTGAGATGAATACATTGTAAAATCTCAGTTAATGTCAGTTGGTCTAAATCAGTTATAAATATATTTGGACACAACATGTATACTTGGTGTTATGTTCCTGTTCATATTTTTTGAACTTAAAAGTTGACAGACAACCTTTATTACCAATAATATGTAATGTACTTTACAATGTTCCTGACATATATTTCAGCTTCCTGGATTTTTTTTTCATCTGGCCTTCAGATATGAAAGGCAGAGTGATTTAACACCTGTTTAGATTTGTCATCCATGTGACGAAATGAAAAGTATGCCGTTTGCAATAAACTTTGCATAAAATAGTTAATTTGCATTTAATTTTAATGGTTCAAAGAATGTCAGGCAAAATGGTCGGCCCTCACGCATGTTCACTTCATCAAATCTGGCCCTCTTTGAAAAAAGTTTGGACACCCCTGGTATATAGCATTCCTTTGTATCAGGGAAGATCTAGAATTCAGAATGACCTTAGAAAAATCAATTAGCTGAATGTGATGAGATAAAGAATTCTCACTTTCCTCTGTTTATAGCATGTTCCTCCTCTAGATAGTCTTGAATGGAAAAACAATGTGGAACAACTTGGTATTCACAAATATCTTGGGGATCAGCAGCAAGGGCCTGCTTTGGGAAGCCCCCTCTTGGGAGGTGAATGTGGCAGCATTGAGACACCACCCAGAAACCGGCAGATACTAACAGCAGATTCATGGGACTCCTCTCATAGATCTTGCACATGCATAAGATGATAGATCTGCGGGGGGAGGGGGAGGAGGAGGGGGACAGTGGCAAAATTAGGAGGCCGGAGGGTCAGTTGCCGCTGGGCACCATACTAGGGAGGCTCCAATTTAATCCCATTCTGCTTCCCCTGTTATCCCTTCAGCTCACATGCTCCTACTCCTTCTGCAGTTGGCAGCTGGAGCCTCCTCCCTGCCTCTCTGGTCCAAGCCCGACCCTCCTCCATCTCCATTGGAGGGTTAGTGCATGTGGGAGCCTGGCCTCAAACTGTAGGGGGTGGGGAAGGAGATGCGGTACAAGTTCCCCTCAGCTGTGCACCAGGTTTGGGGCCGTGCCACATAGCAGCGGGGCGCAAATTTTTCCTTTGCCCCATGGCACATAACACCCTCGCTACGCCTCTAGTGGCACATCCAAACAAGCCACATGAACTCAGTACTGGTGCATAACACAAAATCCATTCTGCTCATGGGAGGAAACTCTTATAAGGCTATGTCTACACTGGCGGCTTCTTGCTCAAGAACATCTTGCGCAAGGGTTCTTGTGCAAGAGGTCTTGCGCAAGAACACGTCCACACTGCCATGTGCAAGCTGTGCTTTTGCGCAAGAGCATCCATGGCAGTGTGGACGCTCTATTGAGCAAGAAAGCTCCAATGACCATTTTATCCATAAGGGTTTCTTGCACAAAAAATCGCTGCTGAGCATCAACACTGCCCTCTTGTGCAAGAGAGCTTACATCTGTTAGAAAAGAGCGTAGCTCTTGTGCAAGACTCCCTCTCTTACCATGCCATACTGTAAATTTCCTTGCGCAAGAGCAGGCTGGTAGTGTGGCTGCTCTGTGGGTTCTTGCACTTCCCCCAGCCTCTCTGCCCCCGAGTTAATGTCACACACATTGGGTTAATGCAATTGCAGGATAGTTGCATGAGTGGGGTTGGTTCTTGCACAAGAATGGCTGTACTTGTGTAAGAAGCCGCGAGTGTAGACATAGCCTTAGAGGGAACACTTCCCCCAATCTCTCTGCCCCCGAGTTAATGTCACACACATTGGGTTAATGCAACTGCAGGATAGTTGCATGAGGGGGTTTTGTGGGGGCCAAACTAATCCCTGTTGGTAGGAGGATGATGGGAAAAGTCCTTCAAGAGGAGTGACATGACACCTTTTACTTCTGGTCATGTGTCCATCTTGCCCCGAGAGTGTTTCCTCCAGAGGCCTGGCTAATGGGGGTCAGAGGGTGTTGCTAATGGGGCACCACCAAAAATTATACAAATCTGCTGGCCTCGGAGGAGGTGTGCATCGGTGTGAGTTTTGTGCAAGGTGTGTGTGCATGTGCGCAGGGGATTTTTTTGTGCTGTGGTGTGTGTGGTGTGGTTTTTTTTTTTTTGCTCTACCAAAATTGCTGTGAGGCCCCGTCGAAATTGTTTGAATTGGGCCCCGCACTTCCTAAAGCAGGCCCTGGGTGGGAGAATGGATTGGTATGAAAAGAAAAAAACTGTTTTACTGCGAGGGTGGTGAAGCACTGGAATGGGTTACTTAGGGAGATGGTAGAATCTCCATCCCTAGTGGTTTTTAAGTACGGGCTTGACAGAGCCCTGGCTGGGAGGATTATTTGGGAACGGGCTTGACAGAGCCCTGGCTCGGAGGATTATTTGGGATTGGTCCTGCTTTTAGCATGGGTTTGGACTCAATGACCTCCTGAGGTCTTTTCCAACCCTGTGTTTCTATGAAAGTGACCATCAGCCACCTTATTACTTCACTGATGCTGGTCTGTGTACTGGGCCAATGCTCTCACACATGGCAGATCAGCCTTCTAACATACACCAGCTACCAACCGTCACGGGGATCCAATGAGGCAACTTGATATCACTGAGCCACAGAGAAGCCCTGACTATACACCTCTTTTTACCTCAGCACGTTCCCTGACAAGCAACTGTGAAGTCTCTCTGATATGGTTTCCTCTGAATTATTCCTGTGGAATTAACTCTGTGGAACAAACAGGTTTCTTGGATACCCAAATGTGAGGATCCTGGAATATGTACCAAAGATGAGGCTATTCATAGAGAGTCCCCACATTGTATCCAAAGCATCTAGGCTTCCTCACTTCTCCATGGCAGCCTCTCCAGGAAGGCTGCAACCCTTGGAATCTTCGGTTAGGTCAGGTTGCGCATCCTGGGAGGACAATGCCTATGTTCAGGGCTCGACAAATAATGCAATCTAGTCGCTCGTGGTGGGTAGATTGCAACCCGGAAGAGCCGGGTTCAGGCGATCTGCACATGCGCAGATCGCCGGACAGCGTGGCTGGCGAGCGGGGCTCGCCGTGGTTCGGTGAACCCTGTGGTTATGTTAATATGCTGACCCTGTAAAACTGAGATGTGGAATATGTGCATGTGCATGAAAACGAGCTCTGCTGAGGGACTCCAGCAAAATCTGGAGGAAGGGTAAAATGAGACAAAAATTATGCACCCTAAGAAGCCACTTCAGAAACCTACCATCCCATCTTAGTGTTTTGGTACCTATGACTCCACAGGAAACAATAACTGCACAACTTCCATTATTGCTTCTGCATGAACTCCTGTTCAGTCTGCAGTCATGTTGTACCACCATGTTGTATAATTATTAGGGGATGCTTCCCATATTAATTTATTTGAATATGGGCCAAAGAAAACCAGTTTTGGTTTTCTTTTTTATTTGAGAGGGTTTTATTTTATGGGTAGGATAATAGGGATGGAGAATACCCACAACTATGTTCCCGTTTATCAGTGTTGTTTGTCTTTAACAGAGACCTCCAATTGGTCCCATTACTGGCAGAACTCAAATATATTACACAGAAACAAACAGACGTAATAGCTGGTGGGATGCAATAGACCAGTTATGACTGATGATAGTGCCTTTATGCCTTTTTGCCTTTATGCTTATTTTTAAAATCCCTGGGACACAGATTGATTATGGCCAAAGAGCTTATGAAAAATGTATGGACTCTGAAAGAGCTTCAAAATGTACCATTTCCACATATATCATCTCTTGGTGGTCATTGTCCTCTCCCACCCCGTCAAAAAAATCTTGTTTATGTTGGTAATATATGTTTAATAATCAAAAACTGATGCTATGGATTAAATAATCAAAATGTCAAAGAATATTTTTTTTTAAAGAGAAAAATTGGATTAGTATGATTCTAACCATTCTTTAATCGGTTTCTGGGCAACAAAAATGTCAGCTGTTATTGCATTAAACTTTAATTTTCTTGCACGAGTACAGGATTATATAAAGGAGCATTGGATTACACTCAGCATGGATTAGTTGAGTGGAGTCTTTTCAGCCAAGGACCAAATAGATTTCCTTCCTTTTGTGATTTATATATTTATTGCTGTTTTTTCCTTCCTTCTAATTCCTATTACCCTTCTGTTTTGCCAGCACTGAGATACCCTCAAAAGCAGACAGGCAGGCAAAATATTGGCTCATTCCTTATATTTGTGTTCCAAGGATCCTCACTAGCCAACGTCAAAGGAGTAAAGTAGCCTTTAGCCATGGAAACTGCTTGCTAGTTTAAAGCTAGAAAATTAAAACTTTTAATTGTAAAAGAAGCATATTATTTTCTTTTTTAATTGAAAAATAAAATCCAGAGTAACTCTTTAGAATTAAACAAACATCCATAGTTTTGCCTTGACCTAGACAGGAAGGGCCCACTGGAAATATAAAATGACAAATGGTAAAAACAGAGATCTTGGCAGAATAAGGTAGCCACAGTTTAGAGAGGGAGACTATCCAGGGTTTGTAGAGTGGGATCCAGGAAGGAAATAAACAATAGTCACCTCTAACAGACTGACTATCATTAACTACATTTTGATTTTTTTTGCAGCCAGCTTAAAGAATGACTAATGAGGTTCCTGCTCTTAACATGGCAGCCAGTGAGGAGGGGCTCCAAAGCTGAAGAGACCCGAAAGGTATTAAAGAAAAGCCTTTAAGCTATTAAATAACAGAATACGGTCTGGAGTTAGTCCTGTCAGTAACCTCCTTTGGGTAGATATGTCAACAACAAAGAATCTTCAGATTGTATAAAAGACACATTAAGAGAACATAGCACAAGACAGAAAATCAGTTAAAAGATGAAAGGTCTGGTTCTGCACCATGGGAGTCAGTGGAAGCAGGATCTGGTCTCCAGAGTTCATTAAGACAGCATGACATTCTGGTTGATGTTAAAATACAGAGCAAGAGCATACTTTCCACGCATCAGTCATAAAAATATGTTGTGGGTGACAAACAACCCAGAAACTTGAAACTGAGATGTGTGACTAGTGAATCATAAGCTACACCCATCCATGTGCTTAAATACATCCTTCAGTATATATTGCCAATTGCTTGTGGTAAATAGCTCAGTCTACAGACAAGCATACCCAGACCTTTTTATTTTCCCAGACACCAGAATTGCTGTGAAGTAACTCTGAGCTGCAGTAGCATTCCGGCTATTGATATGTAAAGAGGCGTACAGCAAGATCCCTCTTTGGTCTCTCTTCCGGCAGGACTATAGAATGTTGCACTCATGGCCATTGCAGAATGAAAGGATGCATATAGCTAGACTGTGCAGTTACCATACGCTAAGGGAATATTATTATATCCAATAACTAAAATTATTTTGTTTACTAGCTTAGGTTCGTGTCATGCAGGGGTGAAAGTAATTTCAAACTCTTACAGGTACTGTCCTATCACAAGCCACCCCTCCTTTGGGGATGGAGAGGCATCTCAGGGTGGGAGGGAGTGTTGTGATACATCAGTACCTGAAAGAAATTTAAGTGTGGGATGGAGTCCGGGGGGCTTAGAATGGAGGATTAGGGTGTTGGAGGGGGTGCAGGAGTCTGTGTAGGGGGCTGCAGATGTGGAGGGTACAGGAGTCGGGGTTGGAATGTATGAGGAGCTCAGGGCAGGGAATTGGGATGGGGGGGATGTATGAGGGGCTCAGGGCAGGGAACTGGGATGGGGAGTCAGGGCAGGGCACTGCAGGTAGGGGACAGAGGGTGTGAGGGTCCTGGAATCGGATTAATTTACCTGGCTGGGATTGAGCTGCTGCCCAAAGCCAATTCTACCTCCCCTCCTACCCTCACTGTGGCAGGAACAGCCGGCCCCTCTTGCTGCCAGCTGTCTCCCTGCCTGCCTTTTTAAAGAGCCTGCCCCAGACTGGCTCTTGCTGGAGTGGCACACTGGGGCACATTCCCTTTACTTTCATCTCTGATGTCGTTCAAGATCAAATCTATTAACCAAATTAAGGGCAACATTATACATTCCCACTGAAACCTGTAAGAGGTGCTAGAGGCCTAACCTACTCTGTGAGGTGAAGTTTGCAGTTTCCAATTGGTTCTTTCCTGAGTTGGGAGGAGTTTGCCTAGGAGGGAGGTAGTGTTGTAGGCTTGCAATATTACCTATTCTGAGGCAGTCCAGTTGTGAGTGTGCTGGAGCATCAGATCACAGGGTGGGCTTGTTCACAATACTCTTCTGGGCTCTCTGGCTGCACAGCTTTGACAAGAGCCATTCTCCTATTGATTACCACACTAGTGTAACCCCCTGCCAGATGGATAGTGCAGTGGTGGAATATAAAATAACATTGCTCATAACCACATTCTGACAATCACTTTGGGGTGGGGGTTCTGCAAAGTGTGACAAAGAAGGCTTGTTGTCAGAAGAGAAATGGATTTGAAGGACCAAAAGTTTCAAGATTCTGTTCCAATGAACATTACAGTGCCTAACTAATGGGAGATGCTGAGGATGGGGCTTTCTGAAGCTCTGGCCCCTAACATAGAGAGATTCCTAATACCAGTCCACAGGAAGGTGCCTGGCTTTCCTTGTTATCTAAAGCTGGGAACCCTCTCTTGGAGTGAGGAAAATGAGTTAGTTTCTTGCCTCATTCCATACAAAACAGCTAGAGGTGGTAGTGGTGTCTGCTGTGTATGTTTTACCCTAGTGGTTAGAAGACTCGTGCATGATGTGTGAGATCTAAGTTCAATTCTGCTTTCTGCATGATGGGAGCAGGAGGGAAGGATTTGAACAGGCATGTCCCACACCACTGAGGAGAAATTCTGACCACTGCGTTATGCGATATTTTG